TGGGGGGGTTTTCTCAAATCCTGTAGCAAAACTCCCCACTTTTAAAAAATAGGCTAGAAAAATGAATGAAAATGGTTTTTCTCTTAAGAATAACCCTGTAATATATCTAATGAGTTTTAACAGTAGCCCGCTTTTCAGATTGGGCTGCTGTCTCTGCAGAATTGTCACTAAAATGTTTTTGCTCTATTTTTTTAATAAGATAAAAAAATAATATTGAAGCATTTTTGGTACTCTATTTGAGAAAATGTAACAAAAGTCTATGAAGTCAGTTTATTTCTTAGCCTAACAGGAAGGCATCAGGGAACACTTGGCTAACCTGTTCAAAGGGCCAGAGTATCTTAAACCATGATTTTCTTGTCTATCACTCATTGTCTCATCTTCTGTGAATGTTTTATATTCAGCCTTAAGGAACTCGGTCCTTTCTAAATTGAGCATACTATGTAGGTTGGTTGTACAAATCCAAAACCAGAGTTTCTGATTATTGCACCCCTACTATTCTGAACAGCTATTCCTATTCAGAGATCATTTCTGCAATTTCAGGGAACCAAGAAGTGATGCGGGGAGACTCCTGCTCAATTTCAAATTGTTGTGGAGGAAAAAAAAACATGTAGATGATGTTATATTCTCAGAGCCTGCTTAATCATGGAAGTGTGTTGAGAAGTCCCTGGTTTCATTGGGATTTTGTGATGTTTCTGTACTGTGAAACTAAGTTCCTAAATCTTCTGTAGGTATGTTGCTAAACAAACTTCCCCAGGTAAAATTTTCCTTCTTTATCCCAGTTGTCAAAGCTATTCCTATAGGCTGATTCAGTGTAGGAGACCCAGCCTTACAAATCTGGCAGTAGCCTTTACAGAGTTTTTCCCCCTAGTGCATACACGCAGAGTTTACGAGATGATGAAACTATTTTCTCATCTCCCTTTTCTGTTTAAAAACAGTTTGTTGTGTTGATCCCTTCTTGGACTGTGGACTCATGGTGAAACTTATTAGGAACTGGGATTGGAAGATACATTGGCTTAAATTGATTGAATAGCACAGATTGCAATGATTTTTCCATCCAGCCGTTTGTTTCTCAGGTGAGAAAATAGTGCCTAACCTAAACCAGCCAGACCATTACAAAGTTGTATCTTCTGTTCAAGAAATACGTGCTGTACCTTTTACGTTCTTGGTGCAGAAAAGCAGCGATCCCTTGCTCTGCTAGCTCACCCTTCCTTTCCACATATGCTGCAGATAGGAGGCCGCAACAGATCATGCTGTAGCTGCATTGCACATATAGGTATTCCTGGAAAATGTAAAGGTACAGACTGGATATCTAGGTTGTGTCTTCCACTGCTTTATGGTCTGAAACAGTTAAGCAAATGGCAATGTTCGTTGGAACTTTTTGAAGCTTTAGAAGCCATTCTTGCATCTGACCTTCAAAACAGTAAACCTGAAATAGTTTTACATACAGGAAAGCTGACAGTTGGGTTACAGGGCAGTAGATTTGATGAAGAAAGATGGATACGTCCATAGTTCTTAGCAGCTATTCAGAGGTCAGTTTCATTTTAATGTTGAAAAGTGAAGAAATTAACACACCTCTAGTAGTTTCATATTAATGGCTATTTTTTAGTGCAGAGATGAATTGCCATGTCTGATGGACCCAGTCAATACTCAGGTATCAAACAATTAGCTATAATTTTTTTAGTAAGTGCTATAATTGACAATGCAAAAAACAAAACACCCTATCCTTTTTTATAATAAAGATAAGCTTGAAATGGAAGTGACAGTTGACTGAATTTTCTTACACTATAGTTATCTTAGCGTTTCCCCTTTATCTAAAGACACTTAATGTTTTTCAGTCCAGAGGAAAGAGCAGTGTTCAAAACCACCCTTACATTCCAAAGGAGCTACACAGAGATAAAGTGATTGTTTGACTTATTTGGGTTTCATCTGGGAACAACCTATGTAGTAGGATCAAAGATATAAATGGGCTCTAACTGGCATGAGGTCTTTAATTTGCCTAACTACTGTGTGTGCTCCTCTTTCCACTTCATTCACTAAGCAGTGCTGTGCTAAACAGCTTTGATGGCACAAATGAGCAGATACTCATCTGGCCTGGCTTCCAAAGAGCAAGACTTCAGCAGAGCCTTGCCATCTCCCCCTGCCAAGCTTCCAGGAACCTGCTCCTTTCTACAACTAGTAGTGGTACTTAAATGTTACACCAAACCAGCAAGGGTACTAGTGCATTTCCTGATTGCCGAACAAAACACCACTGGAGATTCAGGGTTAAATGTTGCACTGTATACTAAGGAAAGGGCGATGCCAAGACAGGCTTGCCAGCTTGCTCAACCATGGATCACAAAGTCTTCTATTGCAAGGCCTTCTGTCATCAAGTGACTGTGAAGTACTTACACCACTCGTCATTTTTAAAATGTTTGTGGCTGAAATGGGGGAGGGGGCTCTGTGGGGCAGCAAAACTATGATTAAGGGTTTTATGTATTGTTTAAGATGTCCACTCCTTAGACTTAAGAGAGGGGAGGTGCTGGTTGAATGGAAGCAAAAGTTGAAAATCCACCATAATCGTATAATTTCTTATCTTTGGAAAAGGGCAACCGTACATTTTCATGAGAATAATTTCCTGTGCTGCCACTGAACTGTTCTCTAGTTTGTGTATCACTAGCAGCATTAAGTATTTGCACACAAAAAGGTATCTGTGAATGCTGTGAGAGATTACTGGTATATTACAATTAATTGTGAATGACTTTGTTTGAAAAGCAGTATGTAATTATGTGTGAAGAAATCTTCTGATAGTTGCTTTGTGGACTTTTGTTATGCAAACGTTTTTTCTACCTATGCTTAGATTGAAAAATCCAACTGTAATTGGCTTTCTTTGATTTGTCCTTTTATCTTTCAACTGTTCCTAACAGCTCATATTTATGTCTTGCGGTCCAACCCAACAGAAAAAGCTAATTCTTAAATCAGTAAGATAAATATTACGCTCAGCATGAAAATGACTGAATTTGATAAGCTATTATTACATATTTTGTGGTTTCTCTTCAGTAACAGCTATCAGAGAAGGGATTTCATTTCTCCAACTTGAACTGTTGAAACATCTGCCCAACCCAGCTTACTGGTAAAAATAAGTTTACTGTACAGAATGCATTCTCACCAATAAGGTCATTTCAAGCATTTGCATTACAAAAATGAGATAGAAAATTGTCATGCCACACATAAGGAAAGTAATTGCTAGGTAAGGTTCGAACTAGACAATCACAATAAGTTACACATACAAGTTATTTTTCAAGCATGCTTCCATAAATAATTATTGGTGAGTTAATGACATCTATTTCACAAACTTGAAGGTTTCCACATTTACATGGCAAGGTTTTGAGGAAGACTGCATTTTGACAGTGCTGTATCAACTGCACAACAGATAGTTTTTACTTTACACTCCAAATATCAAGAAAATAATTTTTTGTTAACTCCTATTTACAAAAATATTTTAGAATTTACAAAGGGGGATACACATCTGAGAAATTCTTGCCCAGGGAAGGAAAACATGTTATACAAATTCTTGTGCTCAGCCTAATATATCTTTTGTCTACAGTTTGCTTTGTAAAGTTCATCTTTCTAAGCAAAAATTATGAATAAATTCCTTTTTACTGAGGTATATGATGAATTGGATACAGAGCTAAACATCTGAATATTGAAATTAGCAACATATTTTGAGCAGCTTTTTTTGAAAAAAATTGGTATTAGTATAAATAAGCTGTGGAAAGTGTTTTAAGTTTGGAATGCCAGGTATTCAAATTGTCTAGAATGTATGTCTAAAGTTCAGATAAAGATATTTGTTGGCTAAATATGCACTATACTGTTTGAATGAACTACTATGCTAAAAACATCTACCAATAAAAGCATAATAGTAGGCCATATTTTAAAATTAGAATTAAATAATGGTGGAATATAACTCTGATTCTCCCCAGCAAGCATAATCAAATCAGTGGTAAACTCTTAAGAGCTGTAACAAAACCTGTAGGAACAACTTGGGAAAAACATTCTAAATAACACATGCAAATTTAATCCTAAACTGTACTACCAACAAGTGTTATTCCAAGCATATTCTAGAATTTAACCCCCCCCCTTCCATTTTTAATTTTATGTACATTCCTGGAATAAGTAGGCCAATGGAAATAATTTAAGCTTAACTTATTAGGCTTAATTGTAACTAAAAGGTCTATAAATGACTAATGGAAGCATACCTTTTCAGCTGGGCTCCCTGAAGGCTAGAATCTTTTCTTACAAAAATGCATCTGACCATTTTCAAAACAGTTTAGCTTATCAGGACAAATTTACCAGTTCTTCCATGCGGTTATGTCAGAACCACCTCTCATTTGCAGATAGCTGGCCCTGACATACGAAAACAGAGGCTCCTAGTATGTTTTTGAAAAATTACTCATTACAATCTGAGGTTAAGATTTACTTTTAAGATACTTATATTCAGCCTTAATTCCCAAGAATCCTACGCGTATGGAAAGCAAATTATTTATCCTGTTTCTTCTTTCAGCTGGCAGATGCTCAACTCCTTTGTACACCATTCTGGAAAATGTTTCATTGGCTAGGATATAAAAGGGAGAAGGGCATGAAACCCATCGTGTGCATGGAACACTGCTGAACCTCAATGTTTTAGGTATCAACATGAAGCATTTTACATTATGTAAGTGGATTAACTTTTGCTAAAAATACTAATACTCACTGACAACAAATACCAGCAAATTTCTTGTTAATTTTATAGGGACCTAAACAGATTTTTTGTAATATATAAAAGGGAGAAGGGCATGAAACCCATCGTGTGCATGGAACACTGCTGAACCTCAATGTTTTAGGTATCAACATGAAGCATTTTACATTATGTAAGTGGATTAACTTTTATCTCCAAAAATATTCTAAAAAACTCTCAAGCATTTTATAAGTGTTTTTTAATTCACAGGGTATCTCACAAGAAAACACATATGACCCTAAAGTTATTTACATACAAGTTCATGAGTATCTTGATTTACTGAAAGTTAAAAAGGTCTTGCCTGTTTATGCTAACTGAAAACATGATGTGGAATCTGTTAATTTTATAGGGACCTAAACAGATTTTTTGTAATTTTACTACAGTAGCTCTCATCAGTTACTGGTTGTAAAAGAATAAATTTCAGAAGCATACTCAAGTGTGCAAAATTTCCCTCAACTGTTATTGCTTACCAACTGATTTTTAACATCTTTTGTTAGTTCTGTAAGTTCTAAGAGCTAAAAATACTAATACTCACTGACAACAAATACCAGCAAATTTCTCACCAGCCCCGTCATCTTCCCAGATGAAGTTATCTTTTTAAAAAGGTGCTGTTATTTAATGTTCTTGTGGGATTAATTCTATTTAAAAATGAAGTTCCTGTCCATATGAAAGAGAGTTTCAAGTGTTACCCTAGTAATGCTGTACAACTTAACTCTTGTAAAAACAACCCTCTCTAATTTAGGATAGCAATGGATTAAGAACATCAGCAATATAGTGAGCATGCCTTGAAGCAGATCCATTACTATATATGACTGTGCTTTGAATGACTTGATATTTTCCTCCACCAATCGCTGAGTATTATGTATTATATGTGGTGTAAAACTCAATTGGATTTAGGATATATTAATTTCTCAATGCCCATTAGGAAACCGCTGCTTTGATAAGGGAGGCCTGATACTTTTTGTTATGACAGACCATCTTCGTAAGATCTTCAGTTTTTTCTCAGACTCAAATCACTGTTTGTTACTAGTGCTGACAGAGATGTACTTTCTGATGCATCTTCTTTGAGATTCAGGAACGATTCTCTGGTTATCTGCAGTATTTCTCTCAGTCCTTTGTTTTCCTGCTGTAAGCAACGAAACAATGCTTTTAAAATGACATGGCAAAGAATAAAACAAATGATTAAAGGAAAGTTGCTTCAAACATCTAAAAAGAAATCTATAAATCAGAGAAAATGATGTCTTACTATTCTCTCCAGAGACCTTCTACCTTTGCCCATCACTACAGAGACAGAGATTCTTTGTCTTTCAATATACCATAGCCAAATGCATCATTCAATAGAAAGGAATCCAATACACTACACAGCTAAAAATGTTTCAGCCACTCATACGGTTGGTGACGACTTAAACCAGTCTTGTAAATAACCAATTGTCAGTTCAAAATTAATCCTCAGATGTAAAACTTGTGAAAAATAAATAAAAACATCTGAGCACATATAAAATTTTAATCACCCCCCGCCCCAGCTTATATCTGAATAGCATTTTAGTATAAGCAGTTAATACTGCAACACTTTCAAGAAGAGAAACCATTGCTGAAAGACAGTGTCACAGATTATTGGGCAAAAATGAGTTAAATACATTATTTGATATTTTTTCAGTCACCAAGACATTTCAAAAATAATGGGAAATCATCCTTTGCTGCTATGTGTGGGTGATCCACTCCCAACTCAACTTCACGAACAGCTGTGACAAGGAACCATGGAACAGTTACTTCTACATTTAAAACTATAATGAGTCCCTTTGCATCTGAGCCCAGATAACAGAGTTCATTGGATCTGGAGATGGAATTTGATTCCAACTCATTCTAAGAAATCATTACAGTTGTTGTTTTTTTAAAAAGAAGCTACCAAAGTATGTTTAGGATGTAATGGAGAACTATGGCTAATTTTCTAATGGAAGCTTCAGTTCTCCTTGTAACTGGATGAAGACATGCCCATTAACCTATTTCCCAGAATATTAATATTAGCAGTAAACAACTACCTTATGTATTGGCTAACACAGCTATCAAAAGCGTAGAAAGGTATATAAAGATGGGTAGGTCCTTTTGATATGATACTGCATATTACTATCACTTTTAAAGGTTTAAGTAGCATTTTTGATGGTATTTGTCTAATCTCAGTAACATTCCACCACAGATATTTATCATCTGTTTCAATTCTGATTTCCATCAATAAGCCAGTGGCAGGATCAATTATGAGTAAAAATGTTTTGTTCATCATAGTATGCATGTGTATAATATCACACCTGTAAGCAAATATAAATACCCCGAATACCAAATGTGCACAATTCACACATAAACCTTCTTGGCCAAGTAAAGCACAGCTAGTAGAAGAGATGAATACATTTCAACCAGTTATAGTTGGATCAAGCATAATTAAATTATAATGAACTGGACAATGTCCCTGTAAGTTGTTAGTTTCCAGGCTGGGTTCAACAGATCTTGTGCTAATGGCCTTTTTAGTGTCTGAAATGTGGATTTCTGGAAACATTCTTGGGAAGCTTCTGTGTGGCTGCTGCAGCTTAATATGAATATGCTGGGCAACCTCACGGTACTTAATCTTTCAGCTTAATGGGTCTCATGGTTTCCTAAACTGCTCTATCAAATTCTTAACCCTAGTTGGGTACATTGGAAATATAAAAAATTATGGATTAATTACCAGTTATACTGGCAAAACACTATGTAGAAAATAGAACCGAATATTATCAAATAATCAGTTGCCAATCAGCTATTAACTATGAAAGAAGAGTTAGGTATTTGCAACAGAGAAATATAGCAAAAATGCTTTATATTGTCTATAGGTAGGCCAGGTCAGGAAACAGACACTGCAAGGATTAGAGGAACGTTTTATTGTTGAAGGGTATAATAACAGAATCTTGAAAGCCTGCCAATTTCAAGGTGACGTTGTTTCTCTTTCCTTAATGGTTCCTGCATTCTTTCATCAAGGTTCTCTCTACATTCTTCCACAATCACATGCCTTGGGGTAGTGTTGACATCCCACACCTTGAAGAGTACCCAAGTACCGGTGTACTGATGCACCCAAACTGAGCATCTTTCACTAGAGTTACTCATTAGAAGCCATGAGGACACAAGCTTTTTCTCAGGAAGGTTTCAGTCTTTGAAGTATATGGAAAAGTACTAGAATTAAGACTCTGAAGAAGACATACTTTTATTTGATTTGAAAGTATGCCCTCTCTTGTTCTCACCATAAGGGACGGTGAAAACAAGAGAATTTTGTGAACTGAATGAGGCGGTGGAAAAGTGTTAGGAGATACTGTGCACAATCATTGTCCTTCTTCAGTTCCTCTGGAATTCAAACCTAGTCTTGACAGAAACTGAACAGAAGTTATAAAGAAGACCATTTCTTCTGCCCACTCTGAGCAAAAAAAAAAAAATTGAGTCTGAAGAAACGTTCAATTAAGGCAGGATTTAAAAAAAAAACCTTAAAAAAAATAGAAAGCTGCTGTCCAATACACATTGGAAAGTAATTCAGCTATGTTTATGATTAATTTATAAAACAACACTTCCAGATTACCCAGTACAATTTATCTTCAGCTAGATGATGTCATTTAAAATATGTTCAAATTTTAGCCTTACATATTAACAATTAGTACTTTAACATTCTTATCTTATTTATTCTTTGAATTCACCCATTTAAAACAGGTTAAAAACAATGTATTCATTTGCCCATAGAGTTTAAAACCTACCTCAAGCTGAAAAATGCGTTCTTGTTCTTTGCAACCCTGCTGCTCATCAATTTCAATGGCTTTTCGCATTACTGCTGCCATTTCTGTGATTTGGTCCACATGCACTTGTAGTTCCTAAATCAAGAGCAAAGTAACATTAACAAACAGTAATACTTTAGTTTTAAAATACTTCCTGAGTGTTAAACATATAACCAATCAATAAGCAAAAACTAGTTTCAATTTTGGTGATTTAAGTCCACAATAAGAAGAGCTGCTTAATAGTTTTCAAGTCATTACATTACTTCTTGGAATTCTAATGTTAGTTATGGTGACAGACCAAAATTCTCTATAAAATATCCAGCCGCAAAATATATAATAAAGCTAAAATATTAAAAGAGAAAATGCACAGCTAATTGCATTTCTTACAGCAGTGTTTCCCAATATGGCCAACTTTGAGATGTGTGGATTTCAGTTCCCAGAATTCTTAGCAATGGCCATGCTGGCTGGGGAATTCTGGGAGCTGATGTCCATACATCTGAAGGTTTTACAGAAATCATGGTTGAATAACATTTTGTTGCTGTGAGCCACCCAGAGGTGAGATGAGCAGCTATATAAATCAAATCAAATCAATAAACATTTTGCTACCCTTTTTGAGATTTCTAAGCATTTATTGGCTAATAGGAAAACCACATCCATTTCTATATAATAGCTAGAGTGATCTACCAGGAGGGATGATGTTACTTCAGAGTGCCATGTATGGTACAATGAACAGCTCCACAAAGCATATGATATTGATTCAACTACAGCCTCGCAAAGGGCCAGATTTGATTTTGGAAGGCAATTATTTCTTGCAGTTACATTTTTAAAAATTTCAATATTAACTATTCCATTATAAACTATTAACTAACAATATTAGTTATATGCATTATCTACCCCCCCAAATATGTAAACATATCTTCCTGACCTCCATAATTACAGAGTTTCATAACATTCTTATGTACAATGCTTTGATGTCATCCATAATATGCATATGCACCTACTTGAAGGAATTATATTCTGCTTTGGGGTAATTAATTCACTCCTCAAAAAAGATTGGAAGATACTTTTAAAGCAAACATTCAAAAAGCATCTGGAAGCTTTGGATAACTTGAGTAAATAACTATTCAGGTTTATAGTAACTTCTTGGAATATCAGCATTCTTTGCGTACCGAGGTTATTTTTAATACTTTTGTAAGAACTAAATTTACTTTTGGATGGAAAAGCTAGGGCACTGCAGAGATAAAGATGTTGGATTACATTCAGAAACTCAGGATGAAGTTCCCACCTAACCATGGAACTCCCTGAGTGATTTGGGGTAAAACAGAAAATGGTGTTAGGTTAGACAAGTAAATTATCCCCTTCCCAAACAGATTTTCCCAGGGGAATAAACTATTAGTTCTGTCGTAAAACATTTAGACGCAAAGGAATGTTATTCAGACACAAGGGGATAATATAATGCGGTGGGAAACAAAGAGACCAGATAACACATAGAGAAGAATAACATCTTGACATATTCTTAGATCACTTTGTTCAACTCAAGAAAGCCATTGTATTTGCTCTATTGCCTTACTATCTTGACTACATTAATGCACACATGCTATAATCCAATCAATTAAATGTTACACTGATTAAATGTATATTGTAGTTTACATAACTCAATATAGAGAGTTGCATTTCTTCACATTAGGCTTGTTCCTTTGCCTCTGTTACTGTAATGAACTTTGTGCTTCGCTGGAATTGTGTACTGGTCTCTAGTTCTAAACTGACTCCTAAAAATTCTTTTACCTTTCAGACTTTTTTTTTTTTTTTTTTTTGCAGGGGCAGGGGAGAAATCCCATGTGCGCTGGTTTGAATTTCCAGAAGGAATGAAAAGATTATGATAAATAATAATAGAAGAATGTGAGTATCTTTAGGAAGCAAACGTAGCTTTCCAAATTGCAATGGAATTTGCGATAAATTTAACCCCTTCTGAAAATGTTTCTGCCTTTCCCTTTTGATTTTTAATAAAAGGTGCAATATTTATTTGAATACATGCTGCTTCAATTCAGCAGGACTCTGAACAGCAATCAAGAAACCAAACTGTTTTCACCAAACCTTTAATATTCAACTAAGCAAGAGATTATTTCTTTCACTAAAAGAAATGGAAAGTTTGGGCAGTTAAATTGAAGCAATAAATAGGAACTCACTTGGGTTCCTTCCTTGGATGTCTTTAGCTCATTGTAATGATATCAAATGACAGAAACACAATTCTAGAACCCAGGCTGGGAATAAGAGATAGCAAAGAAAAAAAAATTAAGTTAACAATTAAGTATCTCTTCTCCTATACCTCATTCTATGCAAATCTTCCTTCTCTCATTGCTGTTTTGCAGGTCATGTGTTGTTTATTACCAACTTAAGGTAGCAAATAAAATCTGAAGTATCCAAAATAAAGCATAGTATTAGAAGACATTTACAAAAATATTAAAGGCATACTACCTTGGAGTGCTGCTCCTTTAACTTCATTATTATACCTGGATCATCTTTTTTGCTGGCCATGAGCAATCTGAACATCTGCTCTCTATATTTGCTCATTATTAGCTCCAAGGCACACTGATGTTCTTCAAGAGATGTACGGAGTTCTGTCAAAATACATAACAAATTTAATGTACACGAGTAATACTACGTAACTACAAAAATAGAATCAAGTAGACTCACGAAGGAAGAATTTCTGTCTATGCAGATAATTCAAATACTGTGAGATATCCGAAATTTCCAGTCTTTTCCTTTACATGGATTACTACTACATCATCAAACACTCTTATATGTCATTTGCAACATAGTCTATGGCTGATGGAAGTAAAAAGGGTCACGGAAAGTGTAGCTATTTCTAACAATTAGAACAGTGTTTGTTCACAATAACATCTGCAGAAATGCTATTTAAATTTATAAAATGCTATGTTACAAAAATATTTGTAAAGTAAATTACACTGCAACTACTAATGCAATGTCGAGGTGTTCAGTATTCAGATCTAAGTCCTAAGTACTCAGGCAAAGATGCTTGCTATTTCTGTAATGCCTCCTGAACTCAAAATGAGAATTTTCTTGATCCTGTGAAGCTACTGGGTGGGCTCAGGAAAAGCGTCAACAGCAACAATAATACTTCACCTGCTTTGGCTCCAAATGCTGCATGCTTCCAATGCCATATCAAGCATGATACATTAAAATGTATACTGAATTAATTATTACATTATCTCTCCCCTCCCAACACACACACACACCATGGGCCACTAAAGCACCTGATGCTTCAGATATTTTACTGGCTTATGTACACATCAGAGAAGGGAAGATGTAATAAGTGCTTGGCTATGCTAATAAAGCATGCTGAATTTTAATAAGAAACCTTGGGACTACTTTAATAGTAAAATAGTAATAGTAAAAAGTACTGTTCTTAAACTGAATGCTTATTCACCTTTATTTTCTTGTTGCAGTTCTCTGATCTGTCTATTTTCCTGCTGGATACCTAAGACCAGGGAAGAGCGAGGCCTATGTCTTGCTACTTCATTAAGTTCTTGAATTTCTTCCTGGTACTGAAAGTAAATAAGACATTTTATAAAAAAGAGAGAAAAGCGAGACATTATTAGATATCTGGTATTAAAAGCAAAGCTGAATATCAATATCAAAACCAGACATTTTGATACAGTAATAATTAGTACTATGAACCCATAAAAACTTTGCCTTTATATTTCTCAAATGTGAATTTAAAAACTGAACACTTTGAACTAAACCATGAAAAACAGACTATTTTAAAATTTTCATTTAAATAAGATTCTATTTCAATAAAATTGAACTTATTAAAATGTCTGCTGTATGAGGTTGCCTGTAAAACCGCAAAAGTGCAACATTAACACACTGCAATAAGCCATATTGTCATTTACTTGGTTTTGACTTATCACATTACATTGTATTTAATAAACCATGATTAGGCAAAGCAAGATTAGCAAAATGTGTAAACCTGGTCATTTTCTGCATGATGCAGTTGCATTAACTATTCAGGAGTGCAACAATCCAAACTCTCAAGATGGTACAAGCAGATAATACAAACAAACTGAGAATGTTAACTGAATCATTATTTTATGTATCAAGCATTAATTGTATCAGATTTATGATAGTAAATAAATGAACTGAATTAAGTATCTTATTAGTGCAAATGAATATACCCTCCCAAATTTGTATGCTTGCTGTAAATATTAAAAATGTTGCAGTATTTTAAAAAAGATCAAATTTACCACTGCACAAGTAAATATTGTAATATTGCATGAAAATACAATGCAAAAGAAGCAGTCGATGATTTAACATTTAAAGAGAGAAATAAATTAAATATACCCAAACACAGCAAATATGGTATAGAGTACTCTCAAAAGTGTGAATTCTGGAAATTAAATAATAAAATAAATTTAAAAAGTGCAGAACTGAATGTTTTGCACTTTTAGTCTCTGCAAATTTCAAAATACCGTAATGAAGCAGTCAGTTTCTGAATAACAATTATTAAGAAAGAACAGTAACCTGTTTCATTGCTTCCACTCGTTTGTTGAGATCTGTAGTTTGTTCAATGAGAGCTTCCGCTGCACTGTCATGCTCTCTTAGTCGCTCCACTAATGCTTTTGCATCAGCTAGGGCCTTCTCAATTGTGCAACTCATTTCTAAAAATTAAAATAAGGTAATGTTACATAATACCAGCTACAGTTCCACTTAGTTTGTCAGAAACAGCATAAGTTGGCTGGCATCCTGAACATGCAGACTGATTTAAGTATGAAAATATGTAAGTCCTCTTCCTTTTGAAAATGTCACCGAGGGTTAATTTGATCCTTTATTATTCTACATCAAGTATCCCAATGCAATACAGAAGCAAGATTAAGTGACTTCAAGTTAAGTATGCACAGGATTGGCTTAATTTATATCACTTGTAAATCACACCTTGGAAGTGCTACTGCCCTGCTTCCAAGCTGGGATGTCTTATATTTTGATTACGGTATGAACTGTCATCCTGCATATTCTGAAACTTATCATATTTGAAGACCTCTTAATTTTTGAAACAACAACTTATATGTATGTAAGGCCCCCTTGTGACCCTGATACATTGAATGAGGCATCTGCATTGACAGAGTACAAAGCAGTAACAATATAAAGAGCCTTTTGCACCCTCAAGGTATTTGATGTATAATGCTAATAATCTCCAGCCAGCATAAGAACTAGGGGAAACTTCATTTCAATAAATTCTAGTTTCACAGAAGGCATGCATAGCTTGTAGTCATTCTACCCTTGCTAAATGCTGACAGTGGAAAAATATGCAAGAAATTCAGGTCACCCCTTCCTGTTGAAAGGTATTATTTGTCACAAAGCAACTGTGGGAACAAGAATATACTCTACAAATTACCCTATTTAATACTTCCTCTCTGACACATTTGTTATATGGTTTTCACAACATAAAGGACATCACAAATGAGTCTTTAAATAAAGCTCTTGAATTTAAACATAATGTAACTCTTTTTGTAAAGTTTTGTTTTTAGATGTGTATTGATTTTGGGGGTTACTTCATTTAGAAATTGATTGTAACTAATATTAACACTTTTCACTGATCATTGATCACTTTCCCACTAAATTAGGGAAACCTAAAATCAAATCTATTTGGTGGCCTTTACCTGTCAGTATTACTCAGCATACTTTACAGTATTTGTGAATCAGGTGAGACAGAGAATCAACCAAACTGTCCTGACCCCCATAGAGAAATCAAAACCATTACTGATTGCATTCAAATTAAAATGGGAAGCTGAGAAGCTGACACTAAGGCACTAATCTACAATACATACACAAAGTGTAGGCTATATTATATCAGTAATTGCAGATTTCAAATGATTTTGACTAAGAATCAGGGACAACACTAAGCAACAAAGAGAAATCAAAGCCATTACTGATTGCATTCAAATTAAAATGGGAAGCTGAGAAGCTGACACTAAGGCACTAATCTACAATACATACACAAAGTGTAGGCTATATTATATCAGTAATTGCAGATTTCAAATGATTTTGACTAAGAATCAGGGACAACACTAAGCAACAAAGAGAAATCAAAGCCATTACTGATTGCATTCAAATTAAAATGGGAAGCTGAGAAGCTGACACTAAGGCACTAATCTACAATACATACACAAAGTGTAGGCTATATTATATCAGTAATTGCAGATTTCAAATGATTTTGACTAAGAATCAGGGACAACACTAAGCAACAAAGAGAAATCAAAGCCATTACTGATTGCATTCAAATTAAAATGGGAAGCTGAGAAGCTGACACTAAGGCACTAATCTACAATACATACACAAAGTGTAGGCTATATTATATCAGTAATTGCAGATTTCAAATGATTTTGACTAAGAATCAGGGACAACACACCTACAAAGGTCTATCATTACCAATTTCCTATTTGTGGAAAGCAGAATACTGAAATAAATCATTCTTCCAATCAAGTATTTTAAAGCTTGAAGTTGACCAGTGGCATGCTTTAAGGCCCTCCAGCCGCCACCTCTGGAATACTAATGAATCTGCAACACCAGAAAACCACGTGTCACACACCTACAATTTCAGCATTCACTGAAATGTTTAGACTCTGAGCTGCCAGAGAAGCAAGAAGTTCAACTGATGTTGATCTGGAGTGGTGTTAGTCACTAACTCTCAGACCAGCCTGCTTCATAGAGTTGTTGTAACCCAGCGTTTCTCAACCTTGGCGGCTTGAAGGTGTGTGGACTTCAGCTCTCAGAATTCCCCAGCC